AAACAAAACTTTGGCTTGGCTCATGTGTCATTTGTAGAAAAGGGGTATGGAGCTGGGGAGGTGGTACAATAATAGTTTATTCTCAGGCGCTGCACAAACCAGCCACTTGTCTGCTGCCTGCTGTGCTAACCCTGGAATTTGTTGATCTCTGGGGTCCTAGGTAGATCCACAGCGTAGAGACTAAAGTTAGATGACAATTTGCGCTTGCGAAGAAGCAGGAGCTCTGGGGAGATGATGATGTCTTCTTGGAGTCTGCTGTGTCCCCACGGTGCTAGCTCAGCACCCTGGCTGGGTGAGAACAGTCCACCTCAGGCTGCCTGCCTGGACACACAGGAAGACGCCAGCCCGTGTGCTGCCCTGAGCTGCACTAGGCCCCAGTCAGGGGAACCAGCCTGTGAGCCCTGGATTTGGGTCCTGATGCTGGGCCAGGGGGTTATCCCTTCCCAGAGAAAGCTGGAAAGCTGAGGTTGGAGTTGTCATAGCAACCAGGCCGTCAATCACCTGGCTGAGCACCTGTCAGGGGTGTCGGACATCCAGGACTTCCCACACAGGGGTCCCTGTGACAGAGTGGACAGGCCACAACCCTGCTAGACCATCCCCAGTGCCATCAGAGGCAACCCACTGGGCTGTGGGGTCAAAGTGAGACACACTTTTCAAGAATACAATATTAGAAGAAATGAGGGGCAGACGCTCTGGAAGAGAAGCTTTAGACAAGAATCACTGCACATCCTTGGTTATTTCCTGGTGAGGAAAAATGTTTTGAGAACAACTAGGGGGAAATTTGAACATGAACTTGTGTGACGATGTCCTTGATCTAAGTTGGTTTCCTATAACCATGGTGATGTAGTTACAGAGAGGAATGTCACCTGGTAATGCAGGCTGGAGTGTTTGAGGACAATGCCATGTTGTCCATACATTTTTTAAATTTTTTCCTTTGAGACAGGGTCTCGCTCTGTCGCCCAGGCTGGAGTGCAGTGGTGCAGTCATGGCTCACTGCAGCCTTAACCTCCTGGGCTCAAGTGATCCTCCCACCTCAGCCTCCTGAGTAGCTGGGGCTATAGGCACGTGCCACCACGGCCAGCTAATTTTTGTATTTTTAGTAGAGACGGGTTTCAACATGTTGGCCAGGATGGTCTCGATCTCCTGATCTTGTGATCTGCCCGCCTCGGCCTCCCAAAGTGCTGGGATGACAGGCGTGAGCCACCGCACTTGGCCGGGAATGGGACCTTCTAAAATGAAACATGCACATCCTCTGTCAGCCCAGTCTCTCAGGAACCTGAGAGACATCCTTACACCGGGAGGGCAGGGGGCGTGTTTGGCCAAACATTAATCCACACAGAGCACGAGTCCACACTCCTGAAATATTTAGAAACACAAAGTGCTGGCTGCCAGGTGCTGGCGGGAAGGGGAGCAGGGCTGACTGCTCAGTAAGTGCAGGCCTTCTCTTGGGGTGATGAAATGCCTGCCGTAGATGGAGGCGTGGTCTCACAACACTGTGAATATACTAAATGTTGGGGACCAGCCTCAAGACCACCCGTAGGGTACCTGAAGTCCAGTGGCGACAAAAGAATGAGAAAAGACAGGTTAAGAGTTCATAAAGGTGGGAGCCAGGGGGCCAGTTGCAAAATGGAGGCTGTGAAAGGCACCGAGCTCTGGTGTCCATGCTATTTATTGAGTACAATCACTTAGATCTAAGAAGCAGATGTTCAGGGCGAAACGGTATGTCACAGGCGTAATCTATAGCAATAGTGGTTTAAAGGAATCTCCTTTGTGCTCAAACAGCGTATCTTTAACTTATCAGAGAGTAGCTAGTGGGAGCGGCTTAACCAGGAGCCTGCACGTCTGTTCACATTCCAACGCTTTCTCCTTGAACACCGTGTTTACAGATAAGAGAGCGGGTCTCGCGGCCGGGCGCGGTGGCTCAAGCCTGTAATCCCAGCACTTTGGGAGGCCGAGACGGGCGGATCATGAGGTCAGGAGATCGAGACCATCCTGGCTAACACGGTGAAACCCCGTCTCTACTAAAAAATACAAAAAACTAGCCGGGCGAAGTGGCGGGTGCCTGTAGTCCCAGCTACTCGGGAGGCTGAGGCAGAAGAATGGCGTGAACCCGAGAGGAGGAGCTTGCAGTGAGCTGAGATCCGGCCACTGCACTCCAGCCTGGGTGACAGAGCAAGACTCCGTCTCAAAAAAAAAAAAAAGAGAGCGGGTCTCGCTCTGAGCATGGGAACATGATGGCAACTAGGAGGCTTTCCTCCTCAGAGGCCTCTTGTGGCTTTCCACAACTTATTGTCCCATATTTTTATGGCCAGTTTATACAGGAACCCTACAGGCCCTTTTCCCAACACTAAATGCCACTAAACTGTACACTTTAAACAATGATTATGCCACTGGGCATGGCAGCTCACGCCTGTAACCCCAGCACTTTGGGAGGCTGAGGTGGGCAGATCACTTGAGGCCAGGAGTTCGAGACCAGCCTGGCCAACATGGCAAAACCCCGTCTCTACTAAAAATACAAAAATTAGCTGGGCGTAGTGGCACATGCCTGCAATCTCAGCTTCTTGGGAGGCCAAGGCACGAGAATTGCTTGAACCTGGGAGGTGGAAGTTGCAGTAAGCCGAGATCATACCACCTCACTCCAGCCTGCGTGATAAAGGCTGTCTCAGAAAATAAATTTAAAAAAAGTTATGTGAATTTCACTTCAATTTAAGAAAGGTTCTTGGTTTTTTTCTTTCAGCATTTTGAGTATCTCATCCCCGCCTTCAGCCTTTGTTTTTTTTTTTTTTTCTGATGCGAAGTCAGAAAAAATACTTGAATCAGGTTTAAAAAAAATCTTAATCTTACTGGGGTTCTCTTGTGTGTGATGATGAGTCCTTCTTCTCTGGCTGCTTTGAGGTTTTGTCTTTCAACATTTTGGGTGTCATCATTTCAGCTGTGTTTGGGTGTTGGAGGGTGTGGAGTTACTTAGATGTGTGCCGTTTTTGATCAGTGTACACATCTAAGAAACTCCACACGCTCCAAGGAAGATAAACTTAAAGCTGGCAAGTTTTTGGCCATTGAGTATTTTTTCTCCTGCAGTGTGCGCGCTGGGGCATTTGGCGATCCTGCATTTCTGAGGCTCTGTTCATCAAGAAAAATTTTTTTCAAATCACATAATTTCTATTAATCTACAAGTTTGCTGATTCTTTCTTCTACTCCCTCAAATGTACAGTAACTGAAATAAAAACTTCACTAGAGGGACTCAAGTCTAGTGAAGTGAAGTTTTGATTTCTCTTACTGTGCTTTTTAACATCTATATCTCTATTTAGTTTTGATTTCTCTTACTGTGCTTTTTAACATCTATATCTCTATTTGGTTCTTTTTAAAAATACCTATTGGTATTATTTGATGAGACACTGTCATCATATTCTCTTTCATTTATTTTTATTTTTGAGACAGGAGTTTCGCTCTTGTTGCCCAGGCTGGAATGCAGCAGTGGTGCAATCTCAGCTCACTGTAACCTCTGCCTCCCAGGTTCACGTGATTTTCCTGCCTCAGCCTCCCTGGCTAATTTTTGTATTTTTAGTAGAGACGGGGTTTCATCATGTTGGCCAGGCTGGTGTTGAACTCCTGACCTCAAGTGATCCACCTGCCTTGGCCTCCCAAAGTGCAGGGATTACAGGCGTGAGCCACCGCGCCCGACCCCATCTTGTATTTCTTTAAATATGATTTCCTTCAGTGATGTGAACATATTAATAATGGCTGTTTGAAGTTTGTCTACTAAGATTGGCACCTGGCCACCCTCCAAGCCAGTGTCTATTGCCTCTGTTCCTTGTAAGTCCGTCTGCTAAGACCGGCACCTGGGCACCCTCCAAGCCAGTGTCTATTGCCTCTGTTCCTTGTAAGTCCGTCTGCTAAGACCGGCGCCTGGGCGCCCTCCAAGCCAGTGTCTATTGCCTCTCTGCTGCTCCTTGTGTATGTGACACTCTTTTGTTTCCCTGAATGTCTTAACTTTGTTGAAAACTGGACATTTTTAATAATACAACAGATTTCCTTCTTTCCCTAGGGCTTTTTTCTTTTTTCAAGACAGGGTCTCATTTTGTCACCCAGGCTGGAGTGCAGTGGTATAATCATAGCTCACTGAAGCCTTGACCTCCCAGGGTCAAGCAATCCTCCTGCCTCAGCCCCCTAAGTAGCGGGGACTACAGGTGCATGCCACCACACCTGATTATTTGTATTTTTTTTTAAATGTAGAGACAGGGTTTTGCCATGTCGCCCAGGCTGGTCTCAAACTCCTGGACTCAAGCGACTTGCCCGCCTAGGCCTCCCAAAGTGCTGAGATTACTGGCGTGAGCCGCCGCGCCCGGCCCAGGGGTTGTTTTTGTTTGCTTGCTTGTTCAGTGTGTGGACTTGTCTGGGATCCAAAGTACAGGTGGAAAAGTTGTTTCAGGGAACGTGTGCCTATAAAGACTGCACCATGCCTGTACTCTGCTTGCCCGACACTGACCACACCCACTGCCAACACCCAGAACAGGCTGTGTGCTGGGTACCAGCCCCCCCCGTGCCCGCCTCACCCTAGCTGGAACAGGCAGTGTCCTGGGTACCAGCCCCCCGTGCCCGCCTCACCCTGGCTGGAATAGGCAGTGTGCTGGGTACCAGCCCCCCGTGCCCGCCTCACCCTGGCTGTAGCCCCCTGTGCCCGCCTCAGTTTCCGGGCTGCAGTGGGGGATCTCCACCCAGGACACTGGCACTTCTCCACTCCTCGTCACAAGCGCAGGCCTGTGGGTGATGTTTTAGACACAATGATGAGCATGTGTGTGCAGTCAGGCCTTCTTCAAGCACTCAGAGAAGATGCGCCGAGCAGTGCCCCACCGACTCTGGCAGCAGCAGATGGTGATGAAGAGAATGGTACCCAGAGTCTTGTTTTCAAACCCGACCAACACCTTCCGAACTCTGCTGCTCTGGAACAGCTCCCAGAGGCCTGTTTTTGGCGCATACTGAAAGTCAACATCAAACACAAATTGGAGGGCAAAGACTTTTTTTTTTTACTTGGACTTGGCTTTGACGAGTACTGACAAACCCTGCAGACACTAGTACAATTTGATCGTAAACAAAGCCCTTGCCACCACAGTCCAGCAAATTCTGAGAAAACACATACAAAAGTTAAAAGACAGCTCGATTTCATTGTCCTCCCAACACTTGCAACTGTTTCCAGATTTTCTGTGCAGTCTTCTTTGTGCTTTCAGTTCAGTCGAAATTAGAAAGGACAACAAACTTGTAAAGTCAGACGCCTAACTGTGCAAAACTGACCAGACCATGGAGAAGGGGGAGGCACCATTTTACAAAATATTATTAAGATCACCAGCATTAATTTAAATTATTTTCTTTTCTGGACTTCCAAGTCCACTTGGCAATTTTACTTAGGAAAATATCATGCTTAAATAGAAAACTGGTATTCTAAACACATTTTCTTTATGTGACATATTCTTGTGTGTCTATGTAATGAGAATTTTTAAAAAATTGTTTTCTTCCTGCTGCCAAAACTTCGGCATTAAAAATAAGGGACTGTAAACCTAGTTGACTTACCCATAAAAAGGAGTAAGTTCGGAGAATGAGAGAAGGACCAACAGAATCCAAGCACCCTGTCACTCCCAGCCCGGACCTCTGAGGCGTGGTTTTGACAGGAGGTGCGTTTATGGGGCATTCACTGGCTCCTCAGAATGGACAGATGATATAGAAATGCTAGGAAGAAACATTCCTGCAACAGTCTGCAGAACAAATGTGCCAGTTTTGCCTTAGAATGTCTTAAGACATCTCAGCAATGTTGGATCATATGGCCCCTTTGGCTATATGACCCATCTTTAAAGCTGAAATAAAAATTGTTAGAAAAATATTCTAGGAGGAATGAAACTAAAAAAAAAAAAAAAAAAGTTAAAAATATGTGCTCACCTTAATTGTTTCACTGTGTCAGTTTTGGTTCTGAATGTGACGTGAGGATCCTATCCAATGCAGCTATTAAACCATGCAGCCACCACAGGTATGTCGTACGTAAGACCTCATTACAGTGACGATTTAACAGCACAAGTTAATTAATTTTTTCATGGCTCGTCATGACAAAACGATTACAGAGTAGGCGAAGAACAGAGTGAGTGCTTTCTTCTCACCAGGGCCTTCATCAGTGAGTCAACTGCTCTTGACGCCAGCAAGTCAGTCTGATGTTCCCAGGTGAAACCCGCCCTTGGCTCCGTGAGCGAATGAGACCGAGGTAAACCCAATGCAGCTCTGCAACCCCAGGGACTGAAGCCACGTTGTCCAAAGCCACAGCTGGGACCTTGGAGAACCTGGGGCCCTCTGCTGGGAGGCAGCAGTGGAGAAGGGCACTGGCCGGCTTTTGGTGAAAAACCGGGGCTCCTGTATGGGGCGCATAACGGGAGGCAGGCGGCTTTCACCTCCAGGCCTGAGCAGAGCGCGGCTGGCTGGGACAGCAGCACGGCAGCCCAAACCGTGCGCCCGTGCCCTCTTGCTGCGCAGGCGGGAGCTGCGGGAGCATGGAGAAGGCGCGCAGCCTTGGCGGCTCTCCTCCGCAGCCGCTCACTCTGAATCTGCAGCTTCTCCAGCTCTCACGCCCAGGTCAGACGCTTTCTCAAACAGATCGAGCAATCGCTGCTCAAAAGAAGGCCTCATTTCTGTTTCCCCAACGAAAGCCTGAGTGCCTTCCGCCCGTGTTTGTCACGAACTTACAGGAGAATTGTCTAAACTCTTAAGTGCTCGCTTCCGCATTTGAGAGGAAAGGTCGCGGAGCGGGAGCGCAGGCTCCAGATTCGCACGGCAGCCTCCAGGGAAGATGGGGAGCTGCCCTGGAGCCGGTCAGGCAGTGACTCGGCTGGAACGTGGACGGAGAGAGAGAGACGCAAGGGCTTGGAGGAATGAGTGTGCTCCACGCGAGGACCTCAGCAGAGGGCTCAGCACGGGGCGGGGACCTGGGTAAGAGCTGGGGGCTGCGCTGGCCTCCCGAGAAGACACTTTGGGCTTGCCGTAGAGGTAGGAAAACAGGGAGGGAAACCGGGTAGCGGGGAGGAGAAGAAAAAGCCCCCAGAACACAGAGCCTCTTCTTGCCTCACCCCTACCTGTCCACACCCCCAGCTGAGCACATGTAGAAAAACTATGGTATTGCTGATTCTGTGACAAGAATCTTCCCCATCGGTAACCTGCCGAACACCCATAGAACATGGCAATCAAGCCCCACATGCTTTGAAAAGAAAACAGATTGTTCAGACTAACAGAAACCAACTTAGTACAGCAAATACAGGAATGAGTACCAAATTCCGCAGAACTGGGAGCTCAACAGGAAGTGCAATTCCACCTCTCATGTACCAACAGCACTGACTGATTTAAAGTTCCGACCAACGTGCTCTCCTCAGCTTCAGGGAGGGTCTCACTTCCTACACCAACGGGAATCACTGAGGTTACCCAAAAATGTTAAATCCTGGAGAGCTCGAACACAAACATGGTTTGTAGCAAAAGATTCAACCAAGACGCCTGCAGCCGCTACAGAGGGGCCAGGACGCAGCAGCCCGCGGGCACGTTCAGAACCTCGTGCACACAACTTACGGGAACTTAGAAAATCATAAAAAAGGCCCCACATTCTTAAAGGTATAATTTATAGCGTATTCTGTACAAAAGCAGTCTTTTACAAGGGACTCTGCTGCCCCTCAGAAGAAATCCATAGCCCTGGGCCGTCTCCTTGATGTGGTGGTCAGGGGCTTCTTGGCCACCAGGGGTGAGCTGGCAGGTGAGCTGGTGGGGGTCTTCAGCACCCCGTGGAGGGGCCTCTGTTCAGGGTCGAAGGCCACTCGGGAAGGGCCCGTGGGACTGACCAAGATACTCTTGTCTGTCTTCTTGAATTCTGTCCCAAATGAGAGCAAGGCCCCATGTTAAGCAGGTCCAACAGCTGTCCCTCCAACAGCTCGGACAGTGTCCTGCCTGGGTGCCAACCCTGCCCATTTGCTAGGATGAAGCAGGGCCATCTCAAGGTCCTGCAGACAGCAGGCCTGGGAGCCTTCTGAGGGAAGGAGGGCAGTGAGGCCATGTCCCCTGCCTCAACTCACCCTCCCAAGGCCGCCTGTACAGACCAAGGGGAGCTGCTGGTAGGGTGGCTCCTGCAAGGGTGAACATTGAGGGTGGGGGTGTTCTGGACAATGAGTGAACTAGGCATTTGAGTCTGGGACGAATCTGTGCTATGTGGAGCTGCAGGATTCGTCCTGCTCATCCAGTTGTAAAGGCTGGGTGAGCTCCTCAGGCTCTCTGAGAGTCTCTTTTCCCTAAACATACACGCTCACACACTTGTGCATGCACACGCACACACACACATACTGGCACATGTACACACACTCACACATACACACACACACAATTATTTGCAGTTCCCAACAAGAGTCAGGTCCTAAATTCGTTATAATACCTTTTTTTTTTTTGCGATGATGGAGTCTCACCCAGTCTGTCACCCAGGCTGGAGTGCAGAGGCATGATCTTGGCTCACTGCAACCTCTGTCTCCTGGGTTCAAGCAATTCTCCTGCCTCAGCCTCTTGAGTAGCTGGGACTACAGGCTCTTGCCACTACGCCCAGCTAATTTTTATATTTTTAGTAGAGATGGGGTTTCACCATGTTGGCCAGGCTGGTCTGGAACTCCTGACCTCATGATCTGCCCACCTTGGCATCCCGAAGTGCTAGGATTACGGGCGTGAGCCACTGCGCCTGGCCTATAATACTTTTTAAAACTTTGGTTTCCTTTGTAAAAGCAACTCGAATGGATGGCACCGATATGAAAAGTATCAAGATAGGGGTTACCCTTCTCCCTCCGTCCCCCAGGAAGCAAGTTGTTCCGAAGTTTCGCAGAGACAGCTACAGCTGATGGATCACTACAATCTCAAATGGCCTCTCTGTGGGACGGCTTTCAGTATTTAGAAAGACACTTGGGAGAACAGCTTTTTGGATCACGTCTCTCCAGGTAGCCTCTCTTAAGAGGTCCCAGGCAATTGGCTGCCCGCTCACCACTGGCACCCCACTCACAGCCCTTTGAGGACGAGGGACACACAGGTGCTTCCTTCTGACTCAGAAATGGGCAGTGAGGGGCTGGGCTCGGTGGCTGATGTCTGTAATCCCAGCTCTTTAGGAGGCTGAGGCAGGCGGATCATCTAAGGTCAGGAGTTTGAGACCAGCCTGGCCGACGTGGTGAAACTCCATCTCTGCTAAAAATACAAAAATTAGCTGGGCGTGACGGCATGCACCTGTGATTCCAGCTACCTGGCAGACTGAGGCAGGAGAATCACTTGAACCCGGGCGGGGGGGAAGGAGGAGGTTGCAGTGAGCCAAGATCTTGCCACTGCACTGCAGCCTGGGTGACAGAGCGGTGAGACTCTGTCTCAAAAAAAAAAAAAAGAAAAAAGAAAGAAATGGGCAGTGAGGAGCTCGGACCCCACCTCTCCCCTCAGTGCCTGTGGAACCAGGCTGCGAGCCGCGCCAGGAGCCACAGCTGTGCTCCAGAGAAGCCTGCCGCCAGCAAAACCCACTTACCTGCAGTCATGTTTCTGTTCAGCCCGAAGGTGACTTTCTTGGAGCTGGACGGTGTCTTGTTTAGCTGCAGAAGAGAAATAACAGGAACAAAAGGAGTAATGCAAGTACAACAGAGGCACTTAGTCTCCCTGTCAGAATTTTTTGGAGAACCTGCCCTGGAGGGGACGTCGCCCACACTGCTGCTTACTGAGTGGCACATATAGGGAGAGGCCAAAGGGACCACGGCCAAGACTGAAACCAACCCTGCTGTCGGGCTTCACCAGGACCGCCCTCTGTCTTTCCCAGTGTCCCACGCGCGCCTCCCCCAGCCCAGGGTCAGTGGTGCTGGCACTCTTGGCCCATCTGCGGTCACAGCCTCATCACCACCACAGGGTTCTACGATCCAGGGAAGAAAGGCAACAGTGAAGATGCCTGAACTGTCCAGAAACAGTTCACCACTGAGGACCCATGAGGAAAAATGCCAAGACTCCCCTGCCTTTTGCTGGAGAGTTCTGAAGTTCTAGCTTGAAGACTCTATGACATCGATGAGACGATGTCTACAATGGAATCTCACTTTAGTGGACAATGGACACAGTTCCCAGCTTCTCGTGCACAAGGACTCCAAGCTATCTGCATATTCTAACCGTTCACCACAATCAACGATCTTCTTCCTACTCACATTCCCGGAAGCGGATCCAGCCTGCATTAGGAAGCACTTCCTCAAGTTCCTGCTCTGACCCACATTTCTAGAAGTGTGGACCTCCTGCTGACCTGTACCACCTACGTATTAACACTGTGACATTTCACGAGAAAACTGGTTTCTGCAAACCCTGAGCTGGAAGCCCTGGGAGGCAGAATGTGTGGATCAGCCGTCCCTCAAAGTCCCCTTCCTGACTGCGATCCCTCAGGGTGGGTCCCAGACCACCCAGACCTCATGCTACCCTGGCTGCGGAACCTGTCTGCTGTGGGCAGGCTCAGAGGGCCACAGTGGGACTCCAGGCCTGGCATGGGAAGCACTGTCAGCTCAAGCCCATCTGTGCCCTTGTGGTGAAACGTGCTGTGTCACTCTGGGGAGGGTGCACACCTGGACGGCAGAGCCTGGGGGGCGGGTGGCAGGGCTGCTCTTGGCTCTTCTGAAGAACAGGGGCTTTGGTAAGAAGGGGGTGTCAAACTTCACAAAGTCGCTTTCTGCCCTCAGCTTCTGCTTCTTCAGGGAACTGAAAGTCCCACTGCTTCCCTATGTGAGCGAGGGGTGAGAAGCAGAGAGGAGGGGTCAGACAACAGAGCCTGCTGTGTTGCCCACGCACACAGAAGGGGAAGGCCGAGCCCCACAGCGGATCCAGCCCACCCCAGAGCCTGCAGTTTTCTGCACTGCGCTTGCAGACAGCCCTTCCATTCAGCAGAGCTCAGGCTTCACATACAACACGACCACCTATCATGGCACCATGCCAAGAGGGGCGATGAAAACGCCTTCTCAGAGTAAGGACCCACTTTTATCTTCATCTTCAAATTGAGGATTTCAGCCTTTCAAAGCCAATCTGTTAGAGAATAATTCACTCTCCCATTTGTAGCTGAATTGTCACTGCCCTGGCAGCCTGGTGTGGAGGGCAGTGATGCCCATATGGGGGCTGTGGGTCCCTCACAGGCAGGCCCAGGACACTCACTGGGTGTGCAGCGACTCACAGCCACCCAGAGAGAGACCGGGTCTCGTTCTGGGCTCTCAGACGTGTGGGAAACCCAGTGCCACTGACGACACACGGGTGGCTCCGGCAGGATCAAGTGTGCCGCCTGGAGGGCAGGGAAGCCTGAGGAGCTTCTCCTGTGCGCCTTCCCTCCGCCAGGAGAGGTGGCAGGGGAAAGCTTCCCTCGACCCTGGGACTGACTGAGCAACACCCCATCCTCTTTACAACAGGCTGCCAGGGGCCTGAGAAGACGGCAAGAAAGGCAATATCTCTGGCCCTCTTGGTGAGGAAGCAGCACTGAGGGTATGAGGGACAGGCTGCAGTCCAGGGAGATGAAGGCACTGTGAGGTAGGAGAGACTTGAGGCTAGAAATGGACCTCCTGCCGTCTGGCTCAGTGCACTGCTTCCCCTGGGTAAGGCTTTCCTGACCATAAACTCACTCACTAGCCACTTGCAGACACTGTTAGCCCCAAACCAGTACTTAACCAGGTCCACACGTGTCCACTTCAACAAAGGAGATGTCACAACCTCCGCAAAGCGGTGTTTGCAAAGCAAGATCTCACCAAGGTGTGCAAACTCTGTGAAGGGCAGAGTTATTTTCTGCTTTGCAGACCACAGGTCCCTGTCTCTACCGCTTGCCCCTGCCGCTGCAGTGTGAAAGTGGCCATGGACCTGCACATACAAGTGCATGTGGCTTTGTTCCAGTGAAACTACATTTGCTGGCCCTGGCCTGGAAGCCCAGTGCACCCACAGGTGGTGTGAAAAGCGGATCAGGGCCAAGTGCAGGGGCTCACACCTGTAATCCCAGCACTTTGGGAGGCCGAGGCTGGTGGACTGCTTGAGCCCAGCCTGGGCAACAAGGCAAAATGCCGTCTCTACAAAAATAACAAAAAATTAGCTAGGCATGGTGATGTTGTCTGTAATTCCAGCTACTTGGGAGGCTGAGGCAGAAGAATCACTTGAACCTGGGAGGTGGAGGTTGCAGTGAGCCGAGATTGCGCCACTGCACTCCAACCTGGGTGGCAGAGCCAGACCCAAAACCAGATCAACAGCTTGGTTCCTCATTTCTATCTGGCTCTAGAGATCCAAGGGGAAGGAAAATCTCTCCATTAAGAGCATAAGTGGTCCGGCTAGTGAAGTTTCTTTGGCAGGGAAGTGGGGTGGGGGGGGCGCGGAGCTAACAAAAGAAAAGAATATAGAAAAGAAGGTAAGTGAGGCAAGAGAATTTTGGGTTTCCTCTTTTGCCAAAGGGGCCTGGACTGGCCACGGGCTGATGAAGAAAACCAGACCCGCCTTCAACAGAGGCCTAGACTGGCCTGAACATGCTGGGGCAGCAGTGCCTGGCCCATGGATAACCTTCCCAGCTCAGAGCGGGCCCTCCCGAACCCAAACATGTGGTCTGGGGGAGTGAAGGTGACCGATGAGGAGAACCGAAGTACTGGTCACCTGTATTTCCTCCTCAGTGAAGGCTGTGGTGAACATGCCCTATTCTAACTGCTGCTGAGTCCAGAGACGTGGCCGCCGGCCCCCACCCTTCCTCTCAGGAGGCAGTGGAGCTCCCCCGGACGCGTTTGAGCGCCTCTGCGGCGAGCTGGCCTGCGGGTGCTCCCACCTTACCAGAGCCTGGGCTTGCCTGGCTTCGGACTCCAGCGCCCCGTTGTGCTCTACCAGGTCTGACATCGCTCTCATTTTCCTCCTCTTTTTCAAGCTTGCTGTTTTCTGGCTGGACAGGCCACAGAGCTCCAGGCTGCCAGGCCCTGCCTTCTTCTTCTGCAGCCTCCTGCACTGGGGCAGGGTGGTGTGGCTGTTCGCCCTCTCCGTGGGGCCTGTGGGAGGGCCTCCCTGCTGCAGTGGAGGCCAGGCAGGCGTGGACAGGCCACTGCCATTGACAGGGACAACTCCAAGCTTCCGCTTCCTTTTTAGGAGTTGGGCTCCACCTGTTGGGGACCCTCTAGGTCCCTGAGGATGACTGCCACTGGGGCCACTCTGAGACATGTCCTCTGGGGGCAACCCTGCTGATGCCGACATTTCCCTGTGGGCCCTTGGACTCTTCTTCCGCGGTCGTTTCCTTTTATTGTGCATGGGGACGGCTGGAGGATGCTCGGAGCCACTCTCCTCCCCGGTGCTGGATGTGGCCTCTGCGCCTGGCTCGGCCACACGTGCCTTCAGGGCTTTCGGCCCAGCGGCCTCAGGCTCCCTGCCCCTGTTCTGTTCCAGGGAGGGGGCCGCATCCCCTGGGCCTGGACTTTCAGGCTGCAGGTGGTGCTGCTTCTTCTTCCTCCTTCTTCTCTTTTGAAGACTGCTTTCACTGTCCTCTTCCTCGGCACAAAAGACTCTGCTTCCTAAAAAGACAGAAACCCATCAATAAGCCTCCCAGTGCCGGCTGGGCCAGAGTCCTGCTGGTGATTCTGAGACAGTATGATCGGCGGACACAACTTCCTGACATTCTACCACCAGGAGAGTTTCTGTCTCCCTTGAGGTACTCGGTGTGCCCACTACCTTTGTCGTCTGGTCCTACTTCCTCCACTCCCGACTGTGACTGGAAGCCCTCCTTTTGTCCATTTATAAACACACATGGAACTGAAATAGTCCGATTTCCACTAATTTTAGGGCCCAAAGGTAAAAACCATAGATCTAGACTGGTCATCAAACAGCTGCCCCCCTAGTGCTCCTTGCAGCTCCTGCTTCCCTGCAGAGGTGCCCTGGGGAGTAGGCGGACGTGAGTGGGGACACGGTTCCACTGAAACAGCAGAACACTTGGTAAACCACCTTTACCTCTCAGCCATTACAAACCGAAGCTTTAGGTTCTGCTAATGCTTTGTGACGGCACGAGCTCAAGTCTCTGATGCCTCCATGGTGCACGCCGCTCCCCAAGGGCTCAGTCATGAGCCCTCAAGAGAAGGGCCCTTCTCTTCAGCTTTACAGCTTACCTTTCTCCTTTTCCAAGTTAGTTTTCTCTAAAAGTTTATTTCCTTTCTTCTTATGCTTTCCTTGACGGAGGATTTGGTCATCGTCATCAGCAGAAATGTCCTCCGCAAAACTCAGTTGAGATATACTGCTTCCTAGATGCCAGAGTGACACACTGTCAGCTTCCCCAGGCGCTCGAGAGTCTGCCCCAGGGGCCTAAGACCCCCCTCCCAATTTCTGCCTCATCATCATCGTTCCTCACTGTTTCTCCCACCCAAACCTGAGCGCCGCTGACACAGGAATTACAGACTTAAAAAAGCTTTGTGGGTTTCTCAACCAAGGCGAGGCAAGGGATCACAAGCCCTCGGTGACACCCTCCATGGCTGGACTCTGGGGGCCTGGCTAATGTGGTCTCTGCATTCCAACCAGCTCACTGGTGCCCTTCCCAATTCCAAGTGTCCCTAGTGCATGAGGGGTATCACTGACTTGTCCAGACGTAACAGCAAATGAAAGGGATCCTGAGAAATTACATTTTACCTTCACAGAGTATCCAATTAAAACCTTCCTAGGCCACTGCAAATCCATCTAGTTAAAACAATAAAAACCAAACCAAAACATCGCAGTATCCACACATGAGAGCAGTCTGCCCTCTCACTTTGGCGGTTAGGGGAGAGCCCAGGATAGGAAGGTGGGCAAGCTGCAGGGGGCCCTAGGCTTGTGTCACTTCCCATGGCTGTACTGTGGTATGACTAGGTAAGGGCTAGTCTTTCTTTTTTAAAAGCTGGGGTCTTGGCCGGGTGCAGTGGCTCAAGCCTGTAATCTCAGCACTTTGGGAGGCCGAGATGGGCGGCTCACGAGGTCACGAGATCGAGACCATCCTGGCTAACACAATGAAACCCCATCTCTACTAAAAAAAAAATGCAAAAAACTAGCCGGGCGAGGTAGCGGGCGCCTGTCGTCCCAGCTACGCGGGAGGCTGAGGCAGGAGAATGGCGTAAACCCAGGAGGCGGAGCTTGTAGTGAGCTGAGATCCGGCCACTGCACTCCAGCCTGGGCGACAGAGTGAGACTCTGTCTCAAAAAAAAAAAAAAGTTGGGGTCTTGCTCTGTCACCAAGGCTGGAGTGCAGTGGCGTGATTACAACTTACTGTATCCTGGACCTCCTGGGCTCAAGTGATCCTCCCCTCTTAGCCTCCCAAGTGCTGGGACTACAGGCTCACGCCACCATGCCTGGCTAATTTTTTCATTTTTAGTAGATATGAGGCCTCGCTATTTTGCCTGGGCTAAGGACTATTATCTCTTATTAGAGGTTTTCAGTAAAGTTCTTTCAATCTTGTTTCTCAGCGTTTGGCATCAACGCCCCCAGTGGGGTCCATATTCATGAAAAACACCGTGAATGATGATTCTCGGCGCAGCTCACCTTCAGAGAGGTCTTGGAATCTAAAAATAAAAAATAAAAATAAAAAAAATTTTAAAAAAGTAACAAATGTTCATAAAGAAATCCCTTCTGTCTTCTGTAGACATATGTATTTAATTTTTAAAATACAAGCCATAGTTAAATATTTGTTAGTTCACGTTCTCCTCCAGGAGGGAGGCTAGACAGGAAATTCCGTGAGGGAAAGGTGGTGCAATACAAAGGCCAAAAAGCTCAAGGCCAGTGCCGCCCTCGGTTACTGTCAATACCAGCAAGGACATGGCGGGCCAAAGATGCACCTTGGCACACCCAAATCAAACTAAGAAATTCAATTTTTTGTTTCGGAAGGCAGAAATAGCTTAGATCTCTGCTTATGTTCAATTCTCCAGTGGAGAAAGGCAAAGCTGTGTTTTGCTTTACACAATTTTTGTGCATTAGAACAAACAAGAAGCATCGAAGCGCAGTGTGGGCAGGTGCACGGGGGAGGAGACACTGGATGGCAGGGACCTCGGGCAAGCTAGGACCACCCTGTGCCCTGGGAACCCAGCTGGGAAATGGGCAGAACTACAGGAGTTACTTTCTGGGGGCTTAACATGGAATACTTGAATGTATGCAAAGTGCTCAGAGCAGTGCCCGGCTCCTAGAGTGTGATCAGACAGTTGTCACCGATGACAGCAAGCCACGCATGAGGCCCTCCGTGAATTCCAGGTCATCATGTCACTATGGTCAGAGTGATGTCAACACTGACAGCTGAATTAACTAACACTTTTGGCATAGCCACATGGGAGGGAGGAGAGAGGTAAAGAATTAACCCTATCTATCTCAGTAGCACACCAGCAGAAGACACCTAAATAGCAGCTTCACATCAGTTTCTGGTTGGTTCATTTCACACATGAATAGACTTCACATCACTCTAAGGCAGCTAAGAGATGAGTATGGCTGCACTGGAAGAATGGAACCTGAGGGGTGGGACTGCTGTTTCCATTAAGCTTTTCAGTTTACATGTGTCTATTACATTGCTATGCACAAATGCATTAAAGGACAAAAAAAGAAGAAAGAAAAAAGATAAGCATGCAGATGGCTTGTCCCACACCAGGAGATGAGAACTAAAGGAATGATGATGTCAGAACCCTCCCTCCAGTCACTGACTTCTTGATGAGTTTGGAGAGGCGCTTCCTGTTGAAGGGGGGCGTGTTCTTCCTGCTGGTCATTTCCAGGAGTCGATCAGCAACAGCCTTATAGTCAAACTAGGCAGGAAGAGAAACTAAACATAAGTGTGTAGCCAAACAACACTGCCTGACTTGGACATTTACATCTGCTAGTGAGAGAAGCCCCTACTGAAGCATTTGGCAACACACAGGCTAAACAAGCATGTGCTGGGACTTGGCCACCAGGAGCACAAGCACTACCTTTGAAAAATGCGTGTTCTGTTTATTCTTGGGAGAAGCTGGGTAAGTAATTCTTTTTTTTTTTTTTAATTGTGATAGAGTACCCACAACAAAATTTACCTGGGTGTGCTTTTTTTTTTTTTTTTTTTGAGGCGCAGTCTCTGTCACCCAGCCTGGAGTGCAGTGGCGTGATCTCGGTTCACTGCAACCTCAGCCTCCCGGGTTCAAGTGATTCTCCTGCCTCAGCCTCCCGAGTAGCTGGGATTACAGGTGCGCGCGGCTGCGTTTTTGTATTTGTTTTTGAATTTGTAGCAGAGACGGGGTTTCACTGTGTTGGCCAGGCTGGTCTCGAACTCCTAACCTAAGGTGATCTGCCCACCTTGGCCTCCCAAAGTGCTGGGATTACAGGTGTGAGCCAGTGCACCCGGCCGGAGGGTGTGCTTCTTTTTAAACTGAAGCTAGATTTGCAATCTGTACTTGGCAAACTTTTTTTTATTTGACAAGTGCCACTAGAGCTGGCTCCGTGGTAGAGAACAGAGCAAAGCTTAGCCATTCAAAATAAGTGCTACTATCTCTTTCAAAACCCCATTGTATTTACATTTCCTTGTCTCCAATAAGGTTATTCTCAGGAAGGTGACATTTAGTGACTGAAGGGATTAAAAAGGAGTTTACACATCAGGCCTTATAGCTTAACTAGCTGTGACCCTAATTCTGTAGTCAGGCTACTCCACAGCAAATCCATATTCTATAAAAAGCAACAACTGCCACCCACCTGGAGAAGGGGTCCTGTGTCCTCAAAGGTTCCGCAGTCATCTCTTCCTCTTTCATCACTGAGTCCATCTTTTCTGGAATGATTTTTGCCCAGTGCTGTCAAAATATACCCAGAGACCAAATTCTTGACATATCAAATACACAGAAGTGACTACTTCCACAGAAGCCACTGTCTAATTAGGTGTCTCTTAACAAAAAAGAAGGTTGGGCACGGTGGCTCACGCCTGTAATTCCAGCACCTTGGGAGTTGAGGTGGGTGGATCACTTGAGGCCAGGAATTCTAGATCAGCCTGGGCAACACGGCGAAAACCCATCTCCACTAAAAATACAAAAATTAGCTGGGCGTGGTTGCGGGTGCCTGTAATCCCAGCTACTCAGGAGGCTGAGGCATGAGAATCGCTTGAACCCAGGAGGCAGGGGTTGCAGTGAGCCGAGATCGCGCCACTGCACTCCAGCCTGGGTGACAGCGAGACTCCGTCTCAAAAAAATAAAAAACGAAAGAAAATTTCTTTCAGGAGAAAAACTCTGCAAAGACATTTATAATTTCCCAGGACATTTTGATTGTTCAGGCTATGGGAATGGAAATAAGTCTGGGAAAAAGCACATGTTTTGCCTTTTGCACCCATAAAACCCCAATTCCCTGCTGCCTTCGATGATTCCCTCCCCCACACACTGTCCGGTTAGGACGAAGGCTGTGGTGAATGGGAAGCTCCTGTCCAGGGACGCAGGCAAGCGGATGGGACACTGTATCGCCCTGGACCACCAGGGGTAGGAGCATGGATGCAGGAGTCTGGCCCTAGTCTCAGGTCAGTTTAGGGCCTTGGTGAGAACCTGTCACAGCAGTACAGTCACTTCACGAGCATGCTTCAGGAAACACAAGTCAATATTAACGCAACTTTTAGCACTTAAAACATTCAGAGTGTTACAGCTTATGAAGAAGCAGATTAAACAGACTCAGGAGAACTCAAAATTATCTTAAACATGTACTGTTTCTGGAACCCTCTAAGCTTATTAGTGGTGTGGCATCAGGGCGAGGCCTGGGGAGGATGGGGCAGGTGCAGCACGCATTTGATGAACGTAACTGGGAGGGAACGTCTGGAACTGCACTCGGAAGAGAGTCTGTGTCCAGGTTAGGCTGACAGAAATGTGGGGAGCAGAGGGACCCAGAGACTACTTCCATGTGGTCCCATGACCACGTAACACTTGCTCCAGGTCCTTAGTCAACTCTGTTATCTACACCAAACTTAAAATCAGACTATTTCTTTTTTTATTGTTTTGTTTTAGAGATGGGGGTCTCATTATGTGGCCCAAGCTGGTCTCAAATTCCTGGGCTCAAGTGATCTTCCCATCTTGGCCTTCCAAAGTACTAGGATTATAGGCATGAGCCCCCACACCCAGACTAGACTATTTCTTTTATTCTTTCTTTTTTGAGACAGGGGCGCTGGTAGCTCTGTTGCCCAGGATGCAGTGCAGTGACATGATCATGATTCACGGCAGCCTCAACCTCCCAGGTTCAACTGATCCTCCCAGCTCAGCCTTCTGAGTAGCTGAGACCACAGGTATGTGCCACCATGCTTGGCTAACTGTAAAATTTTTATAGAGTCAGAGTCTTGTTATATTGCCCAAGCTGGTCTCCAACTCCTAGGTTCAAGCGATCCTCCCACCTCAGGCTCCTAAAGTGCTGGGATTATGGGTGTGAGCCACCATGCCTGGCCAGAGTATTTTTTCTTTCTTTTAAAGATTCTTGGCTGGGCACAGTGGCTCACGCTTGTAATCCCAACACTTTGGGAAGCCCAGGCGGGTGGAATACCTGAGGTCGGGAGTTCGAGACTAGCCTGACCAACAGGGAGATACAAATTTTTCCGGGCATGGTATGGTGGTGCATGTCTGTAATCCCAGCTACTCGGGAGGCTGAGGCAGGAGAATCGCTTGAACCCGGGAGGCGGAGGTTTCAGTGAGCCGAGATTGCGCCATTGCACTCCAGCCTGGGCGACAAGAATGAAACTCCGTCTCAAAAAAAAAAATTAAAATAAATAAATAAATAAATAAATAAATAAATTTACTTCCTGAAATTACTTCCTGTTGACCAGGTCTAAAAATTAAAAAGAAAAAAAAATAGATTCTTTATTCTGTCTATCTAGCTATCTGTTTATTTATTTATTTTTTGAGACAGGGTTTTGCTTGGTTGCCCAGGCTAGAGTGCAGTGGCACGATCTCAGCTCACTTCAGCCTCTGCTTCCTGGGTTCAAGTGATTCTCCCGCCTCAGCCTCCCAAGTAGCTGGAACTACAGGCACACGCTACCATACCTGGCTAATTTTTTTTTTGGAGACGGAGTCTCGCTCTGTCGCCCAGGCTGGAGTGCAGTGGCTGGATCTCAGTTCACTGCAAGCTCCGCCTCCCGGGTTTACGCCATTCTCCTGCCTCAGCCTCCCGAGTAGCTGGGACTACAGGCGCCCGCCACCTCGCCTGGCTAGTTTTTTGTATTTTTCAGTAGAGACGGGGTTTCACCGTGTTAGCCAGGATGGTCTCGATCTCCTGACCTCGTGATCCGCCCGTCTCAGCCTCCCAAAGTGCTGGGATTACAGGCTTGAGCCACCGCGCCTGGCCAAACTCAACCCCTTCTACAACAGCTGCAAAAAACCCCCCACCAAAACAACGACAACAAAAAACAAAACAAACAACAAAACCTCAAAAACCTTAGGAATATACCTAACCAAGGATGCAGAAGACCTCTACAGGAAAACTACAAAACACCGCTGAAAGAAGTCACTGATGACACAAACTAATGGAAACACAGAAGCACATCCCATGCTCACGGATGGGTAGAATCAATATTGTGAAAACGACCATACTGGCAAAAGCAATCTACAGATTCAATGCAATTCCCATAAAAATATCATCATCATTCTTCACAGAACTAGAAAAAACAATCCTAAAATTCATGTGGAACCAAAAAAAAGCCTGCATAGCCAAAGCAAGACTAAGCAAAAATAATAAATCTGGAGGCTGGGAGTAGTGGCTCATGCCTGTAATCCCAGCACTTTGGGAGGCTGAGGCTGGTGGATCACTTGAGGTCAGGAGTTCGAGATCAGCCTGGTCAGCATGGTGAAACCCTATCTCTACTAAAAATACAAAGACATATTAGCCAGGTGTGGTGGCGCCCACCTATAATTCCAGCTACTAGGGAGGTTGGGGCATGAGAATCGCTTGAACATGGGAGGCAGAGGCTGCAGTGAGCTGAGATTGCACCATTGCACTCCAGCCTGGCTGACACAGCAAGACTCTGTCCCCGCCCTGCAAAAAAAACCCAAAAAAACAAAAACCCCAAAAAAACCCAGAGACATCAGAATACCCAATTTCAAACTATACTATAAAGCTATAGTCACCATAATGGCATGGTATTGGTACTGGTATAAAAACAGGCACATAGACCAATGGAACAGGAGAACCCAGAAATAAACCCAAATACTTACACTCAATCGATCTTCAACCAAGCAAACAAACACAAAGCGTAAGGAAAGGACACCCTATTCAAAAATGGTGCTGGGATAATTGTGAAGCCACATGTAGAAGAATGAAACTGGATCCTCATCTCTCACCTTACAGAAAAATCAGCTCGGCCGGGTGCGGTGGCTCATGCCTATAATCCCAGTACTTTGAGAGGCTGAGGCGGGCGGATCACGAGGTCAGGAGTTTGAGACCATCCTGGTTAACACAGTGAAACCCCGTCTCTACTAAAAATACAAAAAATTAGCTGGGCGTGGTGGTGGGCGCCTGTAGTGCCAGCTACTTGGGAGGCTGAGGCAGGAGAATGGCGTGAACCCGGGAGGCGGAGCTTGCAGTGAGCCGAGATCGCGCCACTGCACTCCAGCCTGGGCAACAGAGTGAGACTCTGTCTCCAAAAAGAAAAATCCAAAAGCAAATGCAATGAAAACAAAAATAGATGGGACCTAATTAAATTAAAAATCTTCTGCACAGCAAAAGAAATAATCAGCAGAATAAAACAGAATGGGAGAAAATATTTGCCAATTATGCAGCCAACAAAGGATTGATTAATATCCAGAATCTACAAGGAACTCAAACAAATCAGTAAGAAAAAAAAATCCCATCAAAAAGTGGGCTAAGGACATAAACAGACAATTCTCAAAAGAAGATATACAAATGGTCAACAGACATATGGAAATGCAAATGAAAACCATAATGAGATACCACCTCACTCCAGCAAGAATGGCCATAATTTAAAAAATCAAAAAATAATAGATGTTGGTGGCTAGGCATGGTGGCTCGGCATGGTGGCTCATGCCTGTAATCCCTGCACTTTGGGAGGCAGAGATGGGTGTATCACCTGAGGTCAGGAGTTTGCGACCAGCCTGGCCAACATTATGAAACCCATCTCTACTAAAATGCAAAAAATTAGCTGGGCCTGGTGGCAGGTGTCTGTAATCCTAGTTACTTAGGAGGCTGAGGCAGGAGAATCGCTTGAACCTGGGAGGTGGAGGTTGCAGTGAGCTGAGATGGCACCACTGCACTCCAGCCTGGGCAACAAGAAGCAAAACTCAGTCTCAAAAAAAAAAAAAAAAAAAAAAAAAAAAAGATGTTGGCACAGATGTGGCGAAAAGGGAAGACTTTTACACTGCTGGTGGGAATGCAAACTAGTACAGCCACTATGGAAAACAGTATGGAGATTCCTTAAAGAACTAAAGGTAAATCTATCATTGATCCAGCAATCCCACTGCCGGGTATCTACCCAGAGGAAAAGAAGTCACTATATGAAAAAGACACTTGCACACGCATGTTTATAGCAGCACAATCCACAGCTGTGAAAACATGGAACCAGCCTGAGTGTCCATTGATCAGTGAGTGGATAAAGAAAATGTGGTATATATACCGTGGAATACTACTCAGCCATAAAAAGGAATGAAATAATGGTATCCACAGCAACCTGGATAGAGTTGGAGACCATTATTCTAAGTGAAGTAACTCAGGAATGGAAAACCAGAACATTTTATGTTCTCACTTAAAAGTGGGAGCTAAGCTATGAGGATGGAAAGGCTGAAGAATGATACAATGAGCTTTGGGGACCCAGGGGAAAGGGTGGGAGGCGGGTGAGGGATAAAAGACTACACATTGGGTACAGTGTACACTGCTCGGGTGACGGGTGTACCAAAATCTCAGAAATCACCACTAAAGAACTTATCCATGTAACCCAAACCACCTGTTCCCCCTAAATTATCAAAATAAATAAAATAACCTTTTATGAAAAAAAAATAAAAGCACAAAAATAAACGTTTAAAAACAAATCTGATACACAACTATTATATAGCCATAATAATTAAAGAAAACCCAAACAACAAATCAGGCTCCTTCTCCATAAAGTTGGTGCTGCGCTTTAAAAAATACATATATATGTATATTAATATTCCTTTGGTCCTTAGTTTTTAGGAACTTTGCTTTCAAATGGTTATATAACACTTCAAAAGCAGGTAAACTGTGACCTAACCATTCCTCTCATTTTGTGCGTTCAGATAAAGCACTGAGAGTTTGGACGGGTCTGCAACTTCAAAAGCATATTCTACCTTAAGTCTGCAGACACAAAACAGTAGTAAGAACGATGCCAGTCCACAGTGGGCATGTAAACATCCCAAGAAAAAGAACCTTGAAGGAAGTCGTGAGTTGAGAAAGGACAGCCACAGAAACAAGCATACGTCCCTCGAGTAACCCGTAGGAATGAGGCCACGCTAAGGTGTTGAAATACGTCAAACAAAACAACAAAGCAAACAAAAAGCACCAGAAAGCACTAGCAGTGACAATGGTGAAATCCTTGAGGAGAGTCCTGAGATCCTGGGAGGTACAGAAATGTGCATATGCCACATGGGACAGGTCTCAGGTCTCCCTATAGCCCCACTAGGCACCCTCCAGGCACAATGAACCCACCTCTGCTGCCTCTCTTGGGAAGGGCTGAGGCAGAGTCATCAACTCTAGGTTGCATTCAGTAAGATGCCAACAAATATATTAAGAACTGTTTGAGAGGATTTTACCAGAAAGAAAGCTAGACTGACCAAGAACATCCTCCTACCTGTCTTCTTTTTACTGACAGCTCTTCTCATGGACACCTCATTTTCAGGTATCTCCTCAGCAGAGAGGTCACCATCGCCCACTTTTGTCTTCTGTTCCTCCATCGTCTCCTCAGGCACAAAAGGAGACTGATCTACGATAGCTTCGAAGACGCCCCGAGCTATGGTCTGCACCAGGGTGTGGCTGAGGGTAGAAGCACAGCGGAGAGCATGAGATTAGAACGAACGGCCTGGCCTTCTGGCTTCAGGAGCGCAGAGGGAAGCCCTGCACACATGGCTGTGGTCTGGAGTGGCCCCTACGGGCCAGCAAGCATCTGCGAGGAACTGCCTAAGTGCTACCCGACAGGCATGGGACGCCCAGCAGTCAGATCTTTGGGCGTGGGAGGGCATTCCTGGAATAAGTGAGTCAAATACTGAAGCTAGAAGAGCCAAATCACTGCTCAAAGCTTCGGCCGCCTTCTCCAGCTGCTCTCTGCTGTGAAGCACTGTCCTGGGTACCCGGCGCCAGGATGCATGATGGCAAGCAACTCCCCATGTAGTCAATAAGGTCCGAGCAGTGGGGACCAGTGGCCACGGGCAGTGAGGCTAAGGTGCACGGTAGCCATGGCCAGTTGCCAGCGGACGCGCGGTGGGAGTGAGGACTTAAGTGCCACGTTATAGCGAGTTGGGGACCAAAGTGCCACGGGAGCCAGTGAGGACTAAGTGCCACGGAGCAGTGGGGACCAAGTGCCACGGAGCAGTGGGGACCAAGTGCCACGGAGCAGTGGGGACCAAGTGCCACGGAGCAGTGGGGACCAAGTGCCACGGAGCAGTGGGAACCAACATGGGGATCACTTACTCCTTAGTCTTCGCAGCGATCTTGCAGAATGGATCGATAAACTTGAGATTCTGATCTGCTAAAAGCTGTAATTTAGAAAAAGGGAAAAATTGAGAAACAGCCTTGCCCTTCTTGACATGTCCTTGAAAAAGGGACCATTCACATCTTTGACAAAGGTAGAGTTAGACCAAGCAATGCCTGTCTCACACAGCCCCAAGGCGCCCCTAGGGAACGTCACAGAAGCCGGGAGCCAGGCTGAAGATCGAGGCCGCCCTCCAGCTACTTGGTATCTCAGTGCAGTGGCTGGAGAAAGGCACCCAGCCCAACATGCATGATCCTATCCGCCCAACATACAGAACAAGGGTGCCCAATCCTGTGACTTCCCCGAGCCACACTGGAAGAATTGTCCTGGGCCACACATAAAATACACAAACACTAACAATAACTGATGAGCTAAAAATAAAATAAAATGGAAAAAAAAAAAAGAAAAAAATCTCATAATATTTTAAGAAAGTTTATGAATTTGTGTTGGGCCACATTCAAAGCTGCCCTGGGCCCCATGCAGCTCTCAGGCGGCGGGCTGGACAAACCTGATATAGGACATACGTACACTTCCTCTACAAGAGGGGTCACAGGGACAGTGCCTCCACGTGTGAGACAAAAGAATTATTGTTTTGAATATAACATATTTTCTTTTAACTAAAAAAAAATACCTGTTCCCTGCAAAACATCTGTGAAAGAAAAGCAAAATCTGTGCATATTCCCACATCCAGAGAATCATTTGCATACTAAAAAATGTATGTTTCCTTTCCAGCCTTTTGTTTCTTTATGAGTATATACCTTAAAAATGTCTACCATTTGCATAGCTTTTCCTACGGCTTTATAAGCTCCCTAGATCCTGAGCACTCCCCTGTGTTAGTGAGTTCTTCATTGGAGTCTGTAGCTTGCTTTCAATTCTATTTTACAGGTAAGACTGTCATGTACATCCTCAGTGCACAAATCCCGCCCCACCAGCTGCTTAGGACACATTCCCAGACAGGACTGAAGCAATTCACACTGCTACAGTCGCTGGTCATGCGAAGTGCCACCCCACAGCAATTCACTGGCAACTACTGCAAACACTGGTGGCCCTCTCACCCCATGGGCAGCCTGTCGGCAGCTGCTTACCTCCTTCCCCCCAACTTTGGAGAGTTCATCCAGGTAAATATCAATGAAGTGGAATCTCACTCCATTAGGAGACTGACTCTCAGGACACAGGATCTCCTTCATCAGGACATCCAAGAAAACCTTGATTCGGCTAAAGAACCAAACACATGCTTCTGTTAATGACAGTACGCCAACACTTCTCACTTCCCAAAGAGAAACAAAAATACTCGGTCTGGTACCTACATAGCATAGCAATCAATGCAAGACTGAAATCATTTTACAAGGAAAAAAGCAATCACTTAAATCAGTATAAAATGTTAATTGTCATATATACTTATTTTATGCCTTCTACTGGATTTCAATTTTCTGTAGGTAACAATGCATCGAGCTTCTCATGGTTTTCTACAAGTTCAGAAAACTTGACAGACACTCTACTACCTTTTAAGTTTTAAGGCTACCAGATGCTAACTCGAATAGTTTACTGACCTTTCTTCCCAGCCGTTTCGCTTCAAGACTTCAAAGGACTGCCTCAGGACCAGACGAATCAGCTAAAGTTAGGCAATTTTTGTAAAAAAAAAAAAAAAAAAAAAGGAAAGGTAAGAAATATTTATCAGCTCAGCAGAATGAGGGGACCAATGAAATTGGTATGGCCTGGTTCCCAAAAGTAAAAAAATATTCACAACACTCATATTTAACTTCTAGATCAAAAAACATATTCAGAGCCAGGAGCAGTGGCTCACGCCTGTAACCCCAGCATTTTGGGAGGCTGAGGTGGGCAGATCATTTGAGGCCAGGAGTTCAAGACCACCCTGGCCAACATGGCAAACCCTCATCTCTACTAAAAATAGAAAAATTAGCCGGGCGTGGTGGTGGGCGTCTGTAGTCCCAGCTACTCAGGAGGCCGAGGCATGAGAATCACCGGAACCCAGGAGGTGGAGGTCGCAGTGAGCTGAGATGGCGCCACTGCACTCCAGCCTGGGGAACAGAGCGAGAGAGACTCTATCTCAAAAAATACCCAACATATTCACTAACGCTCCCCAAACTCATCCTTAAGCACTGCAAAAGCTAAAACAGAGAAGCTTTCCAGGACACATTCAAATTCTTCCTTCACACTAAGCCTGTGGCGTGTTTTCCTTCACACATAAACCTTTCCATTGCTTTTAAGATAAAGGACATTCTTTTCTTCCCCAGAGTTTTTTTTTTTTTTTCTTTTGAGACGGAGTCTCGCTCTGTCGCCCAGGCTGGAGTGCAGTGGCCGGATCTCAGCTCACTGCAAGCTCCGCCTCCCGGGTTCAAGCCATTCTCCTGCCTCAGCCTCCCGAGTAGCTGGGACTACAGGCGTCCGCCACCTCGCCCGGCTAGTTTTTTGTATTTTTTAGTAGAGACGAGGTTTCACCATGTTAGCCAGGATGGTCTCGATCTCCTGACCTTGTGATCTGCCCGTCTTGGCCTCCCAAAGTGCTGGGATTACAGGCTTGAGCCACCGCGCCCGGCCCTTCCCCGGAGTTTTTGAAGTAACTGTGGCAGATCTTACCATATAGTATTTGTCCAGGCGCAGCCTGTCTATTCCTTTCCATTCTCGATTCATGGTTTGCCAAAAGGTCTGAATGAACAGGTGTTCTGCAGTGAACAAAAGGCTCTAAATACTTGGCTTCCACATCAACATATTAACATATAGCAAGAAAATAATGAAGAGGAACAAACTAGCATTATTTATTATTCACTTTTCTCAGTAATTCTTGGGCAGCTAGAAAATGTGTGATAATTAAAAATACTCAATCATTTCCTTTTTTTTTTTTTTTTTCCGAGACGGAGTCTCGCTCTGTCGCCCAGGCTGGAGTGCAGTGGCCGGATCTCAGCTCACTGTAAGCTCCGCCTCCCGGGTTTACGCCATTCTCCTGCCTCAGCCTCCCGAGTAGCTGGGATTACAGGTGAGCACCACCACACCTGGCTAATCTTCGTATTTTTAGTAAAGACGGGGTTTAACCATGTTGGCCAGGCTGGTCTCAAACTCCTGACCTCAGGTGATCCATCCACCTCGGCCTCCCAAAGTGCTGGGATTACAGGCATGAGCCACCGTGCCTGGCCTTGATCTTTCGCATTTAAATAAAAACAGAATAATAGGAAGGGCTGGCAACCTTGTAATGTTAGATTTGAATGTTCTCTGGAGCATTTTTCCTTTATCCACTGCAAAGCCACGTTCCTTTCAAAATAAAAAGATTCCTTGTTCTACTTCTAGTGACTCTTCCGACTGCATTGGTACCTAACAATCAGTCCAAAACCATTAATTCTGACACTTATGTAATCCATATAGAAACTCATATTTTTGTCTGATGAGAGGTGTCGTCTGGGTGAGCTACAGCACAAAACACTCAATTTTTCTCTTCTGACCCACAAAACTGGCACTTTTTTATTCAAAAACAATTTTTGTTGAGTTTTTGGTTTTATTTCTTTTTGCATAATTCTTTTTTCATCTGTGCAAATCTATTATACATATGTAGAATTTTGTTCAATGTGAGTCAGTTAATATTCAGAGCACCACTAGGGGTTGTTGAAATCATTAGGATGGTTTTCCGAAGAGCGTTAAGCAGAACAAACAAAGTCTGCTGCCTTTTTCTTCCTTTGTAAGCAATCAATGCCTGACACAGAAGCACCCTAACTCATTTCTTTTCTCTTTGGTTGAGACACCAGGAGTGGTATCTTCTGTGTATTTATTTATTACCAGTGACGGCTCTGTTCTTGGGGAAGATGAACCTGGCATCCAGAGGTCACCATGGACCCTGCATCTGGCTCTCCAGGCTGCAAGTTAAAGTAACTCAGAATTTGAAGATTCTGGAGGATTGTTATTTTTAGAAGCTTTTTCTGAAATCTCTGAGATGTCAAATCGACTCTCCCCAAGACACTTCGCCCTCTCACCAAGTCAATGACTAAGTTTATCACAGCTTTTAAAAACAGGAACGGCTTGTCCACTGACATCTACATAATACCGGCACAAGGTTCCCATTAAACTAGCAGTTGGAAAACTTGGAAGGAAGGAGAAGAAATAACAGGACTCACGAGCTGCTGAGTTGTTAACAGCGTGGACTAGCTGTGCGATGGTGTTGGCGAGCTCTTCCTGCAGAGGCGGGGTTGGGGAGAAAAATGGGGGTTATCCTGGGCCAACATGAGATGCTCGTGCCGCGGCCTGCTTCCTTCTCCCACTTCTGCTGGCGGGAAGGTCTGTGCCTCTTGTCACTTCCACTAAGAAGTATGTATCCAAATATCTGAATTTTATCAAATGTGTGATTTCCAGTGCTGATGGACTGTCATGCTAACTTGGTATGTCTGCAAGAACTGTGTTAAGCTACATGTTTAAAAAAGCATCTCTAGTTATCAGTTCAAATGAACTAGAAATGAAATAATTTAGTTGTCAGTTCTTGGCTTTATATCTGGCCATGTGCGGTGGCTCACGTCTGTGATCCCAGTACTTTGGGAGGCCAAGGCAGGTGGATCACCTGAGGTCAGGAGTTCAAGACCAGCCTGACCAAGATGGCACCTCCACAGCTCTACTAAAACTTCAAAAATTAGCCAGGCGTGCTGGCGTGTGCCTCTAGTTCCAGCTACTCGGGAGGCTGGGACAGAATTGCTTGAACTCGGAGGTAGACAGTGAGCCAAGATCGCGCCACTGCACTCCAGCCTGGGCCACAGAGCGAGACTCTGTCTCAAAACAACAACAACCAAAAAACCCACATCTAAGCTGGGCATGGCAGCTCATGCCTGTAATGGGAGCCTGAGCACTTTGGCAGGCCAAGGCAGGCGGATCGCTCGAGTCCAGGAGTTCAATGCCAGCCTAGGCAACACAATGAGATCCAGTCTCTACAAAAAAATACAAAAATTAGCCAGGCATGGAGGCATGCACCTGTAGTCCCAGCTACTCGGGTGGCTGAGGCAGGAGGATCAGCTGAGCAATAGGGAGGCTGGGGCTGTAGTGAACCATGATTGCACCACTGCACGTCAGCCTGGGCAACAGAGTGAGACTGTCAAAAAAACAAAAACAAAAACAAAAACAAAAACAAACAAAAAAACCACTTCACCATAATCCCAGAAATCCTGTGAAACACAAAGACAGCAGGGCAGACCCCACAGAGGTTAGATGCTGGGATGCTCACTGCACACCACGGGAAAGGCCTCCCCCGGCCTGGTCAGAGACAAGGTGGAATGTGAAGGTAAACCCAGCCTTCTGGGCTCTGTCCTGGGTGAAGGGGTCCCTGGAAACGCATGCCCTGCTGAGGTGCAGCAGGCTCACTCTGGGGAGATGCCCCCTGTTCCTGAGGTTTCGTGAGAAAAGCGCACTCCTCGTCGCTCTCACTCACACGGCACCCGGTCTGTTTTCCTTTGTGGGAGAATGAGGCTCCTGGCCGTTGGTTTTCTTCCTCCACTAAAGCTGTTGGTGGTTACTTTTGAATGTAATAATATAGAAATATTTTGCCCTGCTCCTACTCAAAATATGTTCAGTAAAATAAAAATAAATTAAAACAAGTTATTACGCAGCATGGGAGAAATGGCAAGGCTGCATGTTAAAACCCAGAAAAGTAAAATCTCGCCCTGAGGACTTGTCATCTGCATCAGAGACCTGCAAGCACTTCTCCTCAAGGCTGGTTCTTCTACCTCAGGGGTGTCCAGTCTTTTGCCTCCCCTGAGCCACACTGGAAGAACTGTCTTGGGCCACACACAGAACACACTAACACTAATGATAGTGATGAGCTTAAAAAAAAAATCTCACAAGGTCCTAAGAAAGTTTACGAATTTGTGTGGGGCTGCATTCAAAGCCATCCTGGGCCGCATGTGGCCCGCGGGTGGACAAACTTCCTCTACCTCTACAGAGGCAGATCCAACTACGTTCATGGGTCAGAACAAAGCTTTTAAAAAGTGAAAGTCACTTCTTTAGTGTTGGCTTTGGTGGTGGGCTCAGCAGGCCCTGCAGAGAGAGACCGAGCCTGCTGCATGTTTGGATGACTGCGCAGGCACACTCGGCTTTAACAGGGAGGCTTTTGCGGAGCGCCTACCACCTGCTCTCCGTGGAACCCGAAGCCCAGAGAAGCGGCTGCCTTGTCCTGGGTTTCACAGGGTCTTCACTAGTTAGTGCTCCTGTCATGCCATCCTTGACCACAAAAAATAAACTTACCAGAAGACAGAAACTTTAAGTAACGTAAAACCTAGCATGGAACCTATGAAATTTTACAGAGAAATAGTAAATTGACAATGAATGCACATCTTTCATTTTATTTGAAAAGACAATTCACCTAACTGTGTTGACACTGCATCCCTTTCTGTATGGACAAGAGGTAAGAAAATGACTCCTTGAAGCATGACCGTCAGTGTGCGTCAGTGTATCGGGGGACTGGTACAGTGTGAGTGCTCAAGTCTCTTATCCAGTGTGAGTGCTCAAGTCTCTTATCCAGCCACAGCAAGAACCAGGGAGCATGACAAAGAGAACGCACGTTACCTGTAGAAGGGGTTCATCCTGCACCCACATGCAGTAGAAGAGCCCCTTCCAGATTTTTAGAAGTTCTTCCTGACTGAAACCTCCTGGAAGGCAAAACAGCACAAACATCTTAAGAGTCTATGCATCTCCTTTCTTTTTTTTTTTTTTTTTTGAGACGGAGTCTCGCTGTCACCCAGGCTGGAGTGCAGTGGCCGGATCTCAGCTCACTGCAAGCTCCGCCTCCCGGGTTCCCGCCATTCTCCTGTCTCAGCCTCCCGAGTAGCTGGGACTACAGGCGCCCGCCACCTCGCCCGGCTAGTTTTTTGTATTTTTTTAGTAGAGACGGGGTTTCACCGTGTTAGCCAGGATGGTCTCGATCTCCTGACCTCGTGATCCGCCCGTCTCGGCCTCCCAAAGTGCTGGGATTACAGGCTTGAGCCACCGCGCCCGGCCTACATCTCCTTTCTTAAAGTTTAGAAAGTGGTGAAGTACCACATACATTTTAATTCTCTTTCATTTGCACATCTTTTTAAAAAATGGAAGCAAACATTTCCTTATTATTATAAAAGAAACACAAATAAATTACTATTGTACCTGCAGCTTTATCAGCTACAGGGTAGGGTGGCAGTGGTGGCCTGGCCTCAGCGTGAGGAAGCAAATGTCATCACAACACAAAATTCATGAACAAAGTGGCCACTTAGGAAATCAGCTCCCCCTCAAGGCCCTCCCTGCCCACCACGTGCAGCCATCCTGCACACTGACATTTTCGCTGGTCTTGTGAAGTAAAACTGCAAATCTTACAAGAGATGCGGGGGATTTGCTCATATGAAGCCCCAGCAACGGGCAGCCTCACTTCCGAGGAACAGAAAACCAGCCAGGCTGAGGACACAGGAGCTCCGAACAGTATATCTGAAAGTCAAAGGCCTGGAAAGGGCCTGGGGACACGGACACTACTTTGGAACATTTTTGCAAAAATGACTTTTTAAGGATCCTAGTATGAGGTCAAAAGTGGCTGCCTCCCAATCACCCTCCCTGTAATCGTGATCATTGACTGCAGCAACCTGGTGATCACCAGGGTTGGCTTTGTTCTGACTCTAGTTACTTAGGGATCTACCTCTGCCTTCATGATCTATGACTAAATGACCAGTCTTGTTCAGCCTTAGATCTCCTGAGTAGATCCCAGGTGTCATAAAGTATTTGCTGACTGACATAAAGAATCACAAACTGATAAGGCAGGTGTACACTCTTGGAGTTTCTGAGCCTATGGACCATGAAATTAGAACACAAACAGAAACCTCAAGTCTTGATGTGTGTTACAAATGGTCTTTATGAGGATTTTACTAGGAGATCCTAGGAGAAATCTTTTGGAGCAACAAAGTGCTATAAATTAGATGAATGCAAACAAATATTTAGAATCAATGTGATCTTAATACTCCAAAAGATGCTTAAAAAGTGACAAAAAGGGTTGGGCACAGTGGCTCACGCCTGTAATCCCAGCACTTTGGGAGGCCGAGGCGGGCGGATCATGAGGTCAGAAGATTGAGACCATTCTGGCTAACACGGTGAAACCACATCTCTACTAAAAATAAAAAAAAAAATTAGCCAGGCGTGATGGCGGGCACCTGTAGTCCTAGTTACTCCAGAGGCTGAGGCAGGAGAATGGCGTGAACCCAGGAGGCGGAGCTTGCAGTGAGCCAAGATTGTGCCACTGCACTCCAGCCTGGGCGACAGAGCGAGACTTTGTCTCTTAAAAAAAAAAAAAAGTGACAAAAAGACCTTTTTTGATGGACCAAAGTTTATTTAGTGTATTCAGAGTGCCTTTACCTTAATTTATAGGTATTGATTTCCACTTTACTAAGGGTCTTTCTCCCATCAACAATTTTATAATGGTACATTTCGATTCTTTTTTTTTTTCTTTTTGGGACAGAATCTTGCTCTGTTGCCCAGGCTGGAGTGCCGTGGCACAATCTAGGCTCACTGCAACCTCCGCCTCCTGGGGTCAAGCGATTCTCCCACCTCAGCCTCAAGAGTAGTTGGGATTACTGGCGTGAGCCACCACGCCCGGCCTGCATTTTGATTCTGATAGTTTTCCATGTAAAACCAAGATATCAGAAACTAACATAAAACTAGTTTATTAAAGTATATTTCCTTTCGCAGTTGGAAAGATGTACCAGCTGGTTCTCTTGCCCTCTTGTTAGGAACAAATCATGCCTGGGGATCCTCACATGGCTAATGTAAGTATGGTATGAGTGATAAACCCCACTAGAGCTGAGCCAACTGTGGTCATGATTGCAATAACTTTTTTTCTTGGTCCCAGTGACCTGCACTTATATTTAATCATGTTCAAAGACCACATATATCTCCAGTGAATTAAAGGCTTTGGGCAAGGATCATAAATGGCTGCTAAAACATTAGATGAAAAGATATCACCCAGGCGTGGCGGCTCACTTGTGCTTAGGAGTTTGAGACCAGCCTGGGCAACACAGCAAAACCCAGTCTCTACAACACTGTACTCCAGTTGGGCAACAGAGCAAGACCCTGTCTTAAACACACACACACACACACACCCCCCCCAACGACAAAACCAAAAAATTGGCAGGGCATGGTGGCATGTGCCTGTAGTCCCAAGTACTCAGGTGGCTGAGGTGGGAGGATGACCTGAGTCCAGGAATTTGAGGCTGCAGTAAGCTATAATCGTGCCACTGCACTCCAACCTGGGCAACAGAGCAACTCTGTCTCACGAACAAACAAACAAACAAACAAACAATATTAAGAAACTTGAAAATGGATGTGTCAGACCATCAACACCCAAACCCACTGACTGATCATTAACATGCGCAGGCAATCACTCATCAGATGCCAGAGGTGGTGCCAACAGGAAGAACGCTGCACCAACCTATGAAGTATTCTTACAAAAGTAAAACAAAACAAAACAAAAAAACAAAAACCCAACTGTGTCAAATCTTAACTATTAATACTAGTTTATAGGAAATACAGGGGACAGAGGAACATGGTAAGTGAGACAACAGGATGCAGTCAACAAACCCCAAATATGTGAAACTCTACAAAGCATATGACCTATGTCCTCCAACAAATAAACTGTACAGAAAAAAAAGATGTAAGAACTGTTAGAATTTAAGAGCGTCTTGGCAGACATATTAACCAAATGCAACGGGTGGTCCTCATTTGGATTGGTCATAAAAAACATTTGAGATCATGAGAAAAACTAAACAGATTGGATATTTCATGCTATTAAGGATTTTTTTTTTTTTTTTTGAGACAGTCTCACTCTGTCACCCAGGCTGGAGTGCAATGGCGCAACCTCGGCTCACTGTAACCTCTGCCGTCTAGGTTCAAGTGATTCTCCTGCCTCAGCCTCCCAAGTAGCTGGGATTACAGGGACCTGCCACCGCGCCCAGCTATGTTTTGTAGTTTTTAGTAGAGATGGGGTTTTGCCATGTTGGCCAGGATGGTCTCAGTCTCTTCATCTTGTGATCCGCCCGCCTCGGCCTCCCAAAGTGCTGGGATTGCAGGCGTGAACTACCACGCCTGGCTGCCACGCTAGTTTTAAGGGGGAAAGTGAAGCACAGCTTTGTGCAGAAGCTCAACTGCTGGTGCCAGAACTTTGTTTTTCTCCACTGCAACCTCTGCTGCCCCAAAGACTGTCTCCATTCTCAGAAAGGATCCACTTGTGTTACAAGGTGGCTGGGAGCAGGTACAAACTGTGTGTTCTCTTCAAGTCCAGTAAGGAGAGAGCTAGAGACTCCTAAGGACTGAGCAAGAAGATTTTTACCTGCAGAGGGTCGCTTGGCTTTCCTTGAACCTGTCCTGTGGCCAACGGAATTTTGCTGAATTGGCGGAAGCCGCCTCCTCTCCATGTGGGGTAAGCCCCACCCAGACCACAGAGTCCCTCCGCACCCTGCTTGAAGGTGGAGAGCTTTGGAGAGGAATCACAACGTAGCTGCCCAGCAAGGACAAGGAGTGCCCCGAGCCTGACCCCACACAGTCACCTGGGTCCTTTAAATCCTCCTTTTGTGTTTAAGTTGATTAACGCTCCTGCCCTTCCAGTTACTTCATTGTCTTAGGCTGTTGCATTGCTATAAAGGAATACCTGACGCTAAGAGGTTTATTTGGCTCAGGGCTCTGCAGGCTGTACAAGCATGGCTCCAGCATCTGCTTCCGGTAAGGACCTCAGGGAGCGGCCTGTCTTGGTTGGAGGGGAAGGGGAGTTGTCATGTCACATAGCAAGAGAGGAGGAAGGTGCCAGGCTCTTTAACAGTCAGATCCCACAGGAACTAGAAGTGAGCACTCACTGAATCCCAGGAGAATGGCACTAAGATTCTCCGTGAGGCAGGAGAATCGCTGGAACCTGGGAGGCGGAGGTTTCAGTGAGCCAAGATCGCACCACTGCACTCCAGCCTGAGCGACACAGCGTGACTCCATCTCAAAAAATAAATAAACAAATAAATAAATAAAATAAAATAACTCTAGCGTGGTGTGGATGTTCTGTCAAGTTGCAACTGAAAGAGTCCTAATTAATAAAAACACGTTTATTGCAAAGAACCTTACCACCATCAAAGTGATATAATCACAAGCTTGTCTTGCTCCCTGCCTCCTGAATCCCAGGCTCTGAACCAGAGGGACTGATGCAACCTGTCTGATGTGCATCTTTCCACATCTTTCCTGTGCATTTATTTACAGAAGAGTTACATGTAGTGCAGAAAAGCACAGTTGTGTGTGTGACCTAAATGGCAAAATATTCTGTATTCTGGTCTTTCTCACTTAAAAACAGCACATTTATCTCCAGATGGTTTTGTAAGTAGACCATTGGGTCAAGCCAACGGTAAGTGATAATGTGGTCTGCCCAGTATCTACTATGGACAGCCCACACCTATAACAGGCAAAGGCACAGTATGATGTGCTACAGAGGCGTTCATAATGGAAAACAGTAGATTCTGACAGTGACAATAGACCCTGGACAGTGGGCAGCAAAGTGGGCTGGGTGAGTAATATGGGTTGGCTATGTCCCCACCCAAATCTCACCTTGAATTGTAATAATCCCCACATGTGGTGGGAGGGACCCAGTGGGAGGTAACTGAATCAC